AATGAAAACAATATCAACGGCAGCAGCAGCAGCAACAACAACAACAACAAATACAATGGACCTAAAATAATAAGCCATATTTTCACACCCAACCCTCGAGGGAGAGAGATCTCAGCGTCTTGGGATACCCAGAATGCGCTGCAACTCGAATGCAGTTGAGCGAGTCTGTGCCAGCCAGATCAACCTTCACAGATGAGGTGAACGTGACCATTTTGAAACAGTACGACCGATTCTTCGGACGAACTTAAAATAAACGCGACTGTTTGAAAGACCACATAGATCTACGTTGTTCTTCTCTCCCCCCCCCCTCCCCTTTCTCCCTTTCTGTTTCTCTGCTTCTGTCTCTGTCTCTGTCTCTGTCTGTCTGTCTGTCTGTCTGTCTGTCTGTCTGTCTGTCTGTCTGTCTGTCTCTCTCTCTCTCTCTCTCTCTCTCTCCCCTCTCTCTCTCTCTCTCTCTCTTATAAAGACATACACACACGCACGACACACACACAAACAAACAAACAAACAAACAAACAAACACACAAAACACCACCTCACCTGCCAGATTCCCCCGTCGTAACCTGATCTGTACGTGTTGGGGTTCAACCCATTGTCAGATCTTACATAAGCCAGCCTCCTCAGGAAGAGGTAGTCGTTCTGGAAGATACAGGACTCTTGAATGAGCGATACCGTCGCCTTCACAACCGATTCTCCAGCATTTCCTGGTTGTCGCGTCAGATCCAGACCAGTATTAAGGCATGTCACCATGGAAACACAGCTCAGCAGCAACAGGAGGCCAAGTGATTTGTGTGTCGTCATTTTTGTCAAATGTAACGTCAGCTGTGATTCTGCAGTGGTAAGACGGGAAGAAAGGAAAGAAAGAGTGAATTGTGGTTATGACTGATTGTTTTTCTAGACATCCAGAATCGTTGGACATGTTCTGACCTTGACACAATAGAAGACCAGAAAGATGTGAGGAAAGTGAAAAGGATGTTAGAAGTCTCCCTTGAGAATAGACAACAATGTTGACATGTACATATTATACATGTATTCAACCAGGCCTGTCGAGAGGGGGGGGGGG